ATGGGATCACCGAGAGCCCACTTCTGCTCGCGTTCGTTCCAGGATGGCAGGCCCTGCGAGAGGTCGGACTCGGCTCGAAGAGTCTCAAGACACGCAGCCCATGACTCACAGCCCGGCCATTGACCTAAGCCAATGAATGGAAGGAGCTCGACCTGGGCCTCCTTGGAGTGTGCGGTCTTGTGCTGGGAAGTCGCGGACTCGAAGATGCTGAACTCGTCGTCAGAGAGCACCCGGAAGAAGGCAAGGAAGCGCAAGTCAGACCAACGTGCGACTGCAAAGATGCACGCAAGAAGGTGGCCAGAGATAATGCGCGTATGCAGAGGCCGGGACGGGTCGCAGCACCATGCCATCAGGAAGCGGATGGCACGAACAGTCAAGGCAGGGGCTTGCTGGCGCTTTTGTTTGCGAACATACATGGCATGCGCCACACCACGAATGCGGGCGCTGTCCACCTCACGCAGAGAGATCCGCTGGAAGCGAAACAAACCGTCAGCGAAGCGTAAGGCCTCCAAAGCGGAGGCGCCGGAGGTAGCACCACTTTCAGCTTCACGAAGTGAGCAGAGATACTCATAGAGCAGGGGCTCCGAAACCATGAAGGGGCTGCGGCCGTCCACGGAGGCCAGGTAGTGAGCCAAGCGCCAGAGAGAGCCCGTGCGTTTGCTGATGGTGCCGGTGGCCTTGGGCCGCAACGTGTCCTGAAGAACCAAGAGGGCTCGGTCAGGTTCCAAAATTTTGCCGAAGCACGTAGTCATCTGAATGCCGGTCTTGGTGGCCGACGGGTCAAGAAGCAACAAAGTCTTAAGCTGCACCAAGCAACGGTCACGAAGGGCTGCATCAGTGACACGAAAAGTGGCGGCTTTGATCCGGGCCAGGCTGACGTCAGGGGGAGCTGCAGCAGAGAGCTCGAGGGAATTCGTGGACGGGTCAGGGGGGGTGGGGATCGGTTGAGGCCGGGGACCAACTGGTGCAGGGAAGCGGGCGGTGGGCAGGGATGCAGGAGACCCAAAGACGAGGCCCCAAATGCCATGTTCGTAGGGAAGCTTCGGCAGGGACACATCACGTTGATACACCACGGCTCGCTGAACTTCGGAACTCAGGACCGGGCCAGGGTCCTGAGGCAGTGCAGAGCCCACACGTTCCCATCCATCGGATCCCGAGCTGCGTTCGGGGGCCGGATCTAGGCCGTGGTTGCTGTCAGCCAGATCTCCAAGGGGAGAACCGGCGCGCAATGCAGCATTGAAAAAGGAAGGACTCCAGGATCTAGCATCTTCCGAAAGAAGAGGTGAATGCTCCTCGAAGGAAGAATCAGCACGCTCTGCTGCTTCAGCAATGCGAACGGAAGGACTCCGGGATCGAGCATCTTCAGAGGCTCGAGATGCCTGCAAACTCCATCGGCGGCGGAAGTTCACCATTGGCCCCGATCTCGAGAAGAAAACAGGCCATAAGGCAACAATGCAAAGGCGGCATGAAATGTTACCGGCACTTAGACATCACTTAAGTTTGAGCGGCACGTTTTGTCACACAGAGCTAAGTCGGCACCAGGCGATCCAGTCACGTGCGAGCCTGAACCAGTTCCTCGAGGCGGTCAAGGCGGCTGCTAAGAAGCATGCACTGCTCTGCAGAATTAGCGCGAAGATCCTCAATCGACGCCTTGATGTCCTGAACGGTGGCCTTCATGGTGTCAACAAACTCAGCGATGGCCCCGAACGGAACCCCAAAGTCTGGGTGGTGTCCAAGCACCATGAGCAGCTGCGTTTGACCAATGTTGAGGTTTGTCAGGCGGCGCTCAATAATCTCGATGCTGCTCTGCAAGAGCCGCACCTGTTCCGCAAGAGCAGGTGGTCCTTGGACCAGCAGCGGACTCGGTGCACGCCAAGGGCGAGAGCGCTCATCGGTCGAAGAAGCGATGGCACGGCGGTCACGGCTGCGAGAGCGACTGGCATCACGCAGCCTAGCCGGGCCACGACGATTCAGTGTGGCAAGGTACTCCCGTTGTTCATCAGTCAAGGAGTCCATGTCGCTAGGGCGAACACCGATCGACTACACAGTGCAGTTAAGCTCTGGAACCTGTGCACAACAAGACGATGCTGGCAACCCCGCTGTCGAATGGAAGCGGTGTTGCAAACAATGCAATCCGGAGCATCTCAAAGGCACACACGTTTTGGTGCTGAACCGAGTTATGGCTGGAGCTAACAAGTCCCGGTGCTCACGGCAGGCATCCAGCATGAGGCAGATCACGAGCCGAAGCATGGATCACCGACCTGAAAGGGCTGCCACGAAAGTCGCATAAGCCATGATAAGAAACTTGAGTCGGCCACGGCGACCCGAAGCATATCATGGTTGGTGTCAAAGCCATCGAGCGGCCCAGAGAACCAGAGCCCCAGACCTGCGAGATCGCCAGGCCACGTGACTCACTCAACCCAGTTGCTGAGGAGCCCACGACGTGGCAGTCTGGAGGACTAGGGTCTCAGACCTGCGAGACCGCCACGCCAGATGACTCACTCAACCCAGTTGCTGAGGAGCTCGCGGCTCGGCAGGAGAACGCCAACAGCCACGGGGTGACGAAGATTCCCAGCTCCTGTTTGCCGAGATTCGGAACGTCGAACCAGACGACTCGCTCAGACCGGTTGCTGAGGAGATCGCGGCTTCCACAGGAGAGTTGTCTCCTGCCGCAAAGCAGTCATGCCGATTCCCAGCCCAGTTTGCTGGGAGTGGAACTGCTGAGAGTCAGGCTGCGGAAGTCGCCGGAGCCAGGAGGACCCGACCTTCTTGACTGGTCTCGTCACATCCCAGCACCAGTTTGCCAGGCGAAAGGCAGCCTGAAGTACAGGACGTCGATCACCAGACGGATCGACCTCCCGAAAGATTTGCCAAACTCTGGCACCGGCTTGCCAGGATAAGATCGGCCTGAAGCTCACGATGTCGACAGCAACCTGCAACAGGGACCGAGTGACAGCTTACCAGGAGCACATTTCAACAGCCCGGGTTGCTGAGAAATGGGCCACCTCAGTACATCAAGAGATCTGGCCTGCTCAAGCAAAGCTAGAAGAAGACTTATTGCAGACATCCGGAGCAAAGCTAGAAGAAGATTTATTGCAGACATCCGGACCTCGAAAGGGAGCGTCGACCCAGCAAAGCCAATGGGGCTTGAATCCCCCGCTAAGAATATTGGCGGAAAGCAAGACGCTCAGATCAGCACGTGTGTAAGCGCATGCAGTTACGTGCATGAAACTGAAAGGCAGAGGCACACGGCCGGATTTCTCAAGCCTGGGACCAGGGATCCGGTGCACATGTGATATGGTCTGAACACAGCTACTGCTCGGGAACGTTCAGCAGGCGCTCCACTCGGAGTAAGCGAGCATGAAGACTACGAGAGAACCGGGAGTCGATGATTGACCCGTAAAAAACTCTCAACGTCATCAAGACGGCCACTGAGGCCGCGCAACCAATCGCCATGGCCCCAATCCGAATCTGTAGCCGGCGGCTCAGAGGGAGCGCGATGCACGATTCGGGTCGGTGCCTCCCAGCTGGATCCGGCAGCCAAGGCTTCTTTGCGTTCATCGGATAAACCAGCGAAGACGGTATGAGGGTCTCGTTCTTCACCGATATCTCCAGATTCCGAAGGCGTCAACGAAGCAGCATCGGGGTGGTCGATGTCATGGCGAGCCCAGGCTTGTCTGGCCAACTGCTCGGCCAGCGGTTCCTGCTGTGTCTGCATGTCCTCACAAAATTTGGCGAAAGCGACTTGATGAGCGAAGTCAGCAGTACGGGAAGAGATTTGCGGCCGATGCACTGCAAAACTGTCATGGACCCAGACGGCACGCCGGGTCAGGGCCCTATCCATTGCCCCGGCTGAAGCATGAGAAGACATGGTTTTCTCAGTCCAGCAGCAGGCGCAAAAGCTGAAGTGCACCGATGCAAGTAAATGCAAGCCACAGGTAGAGGCGTTGAAGCAGCAGGCGAAACCTGAGAAGCTCGGAGCGTTGACGCTCCTGTGTATCTTCTAGTCCTTCTTCAAGATCAAGAAACCGTCTTTCAAAGTTCAAGTGGATGTTGTGGCTCCCGGCTTGAGAAGTTTCAAGCCCGCGCAGCTGCACTCTCAAAGAAGAAATTTCAAGAAATGCAACGTCCAACCTACCACGTGCTTCGTGGATCCACAAGCGAAAGATGGCAAGTAACCGCTGAATGCGATCGATCAGGCCAAAAGCTTCGGAGAGGCCTGGCTGCATATACCCATAGGTACTACCACTAGCTCGGCAGACCTACGCCTGTAGACTAAAAGCGTGGTTGCATACGGGCATGCGCAGAAGTTGACTTGCGGAATGCAAAAACACAGTCCCAGCACAATGCAGACACCCGCAGGCTCGAAATGAGGGATCGCGCCGCAAGAATGCTGTTTTGCACACAGTCTGAGTGATGCACGATCTGGGCTGGGCATCGCCAGCTGCTATGTCAGGAGATCTGCAAAGCAGGCGCCGGTGCAAAATGCAACGCAACTGCAGAGCTCACAAAAGTCCTAAGTGCCACGGCGTCGGTCATCGACAGCCCACGGAGGCAAGTCTCCCTGGTAGACGTCACCGAAACGACGGCCCTGAAAGAAAGCAGGGCCTAGCGGCTGCCGTCAGAGTGAGGCACAGGCAGCACACTGGTGACAGCAAGACGGGCAATGGCAGTGGCTACCTCGGCCATCGCCTCCTCGAGCTCAGTCATTCTCTCAGCCAGGCTATCAAGGCGAGACAGAACATCAGTCTTCAAAGTACGCACCTGTGCTTGAAGCTCACCGACCTGGAAGATGAGGCCAGCCACATCATCGGCCACCGGCGCCACTTGGGCACCCACGTGGACCTGCAAGTCCTGAAGGTCGCGAAGAGTGGCGACTGCAGCAGGCTCCGGCGTCGGCGGCAAAGGTTCAATGAGAACCTCGACCATGTCATCGTCATCGCCTGGAAGGGTGGCATCGTCACTCTCTGGAAAAGAAGCACTCACGCGGTCAGCGGCAGCCATTGAGCTGACAGCCCGAGAGCGACCCAGCCCCCTATGAACAAAAATTTTCGGCTGATCTTGGGCCCGAAACTTCGTCATGCTGAGGATGTCAACGAACAAGGCACGTTGAAAGCAAGACGAGCACAAGTGCCGAAAATTAAATGATAAAATTTGAAAGGAAGAAAGTGTATGAGCCTAAAGTTTCGCTCGCGTCAAAACGCAGGCCGCTCGCTGTCGCCGCACACGACAACGCCATCGCATGCGCGAACGCACACTTCTTTAGCGGTCTCCACAGGGCTACTTTGGACAAAACAGGTGCAAGTGGGCACCCAGCCTGTATGCCAGACCGGGCATGCACTGAGGGGCAGGCCACCCCTTCCGACAGGATGATCCGGGGGCCTCTGTAAACCTGGACGGCCGCCCCGAGTAAATTCATGGGGAAACCCAGCGCTCTGGCGTCAGTCACCAAAGTCTCATGATTCAAGCACTCATAAAAGGTGCTAAGATCGACAAAGACACTGACATGGTGAACACCGTGAACGCGATTGCCCTCGCATTTGACTAAGCGCCTGAGTGACACGTCGCACGTGGATTTGCCCGGGACCGCCGCGTCCCAGGGCATTTCAGCAGCAACCTGCATCAGCCAACGGTCAACTAAGTCCCACCGAAGCTTGATGAAGGCCTTGTAGGCCGTATGGAGCAGTGCGATGGGCCTTTCAATCGAGGGCTTTTTGCGCAACATCACAACAATGGAGACCGTCCACTGAAACGGAATCCTACCTGAAAGCTCCGACTGGGAAAAGATTTTTCCCAAAGTTTCGCACTGACCAAGGGAGAGTTGCTTGAGCATCGGAACACTCCACCCATCCGGCCCATGCGCCTTGAGAGGGAGTTTGCGCAAGTAACTTTGAATATGGTCCTTGCCGAGAGGCTGGAGCTCTCTAGCGGCATCAATGAAATCCTCCCGAAGTCCCGACACCTCCGGTCCCTCAAAAGCCGAGGCTTTCCAGATAGTAGCCCATTGTTTCAACCGTGAAAAGGGACGGACGGAAACAGGGAGATCACCAAAAGGCCTGACAACGCATACCTCATGCGACTTGATGGTTTTGAAGACTGGCCCCATACCCCCCTGGACGGCTACACTCAGCCACTTTTCATAGGAAGCTTTGGTGGATTCACGGTCACTGTCCCGCGCTATTGTATAATTCACCTTGGCGACTGCTTTAGCTCTTTCCTTAGCTTGCGGGGGAATGGGAGAGGAGGCAAACTCACTTCTCCAAGATTCGAAAGACACGTGGGGGTGATTCCAATGTTCCTGACATTTAGCAAGCAACTGCGCAGGCAAAGGAAATTGCCTTTGCTGCGAGAGAATGCTGACTACCCTGGCCCACGTGGCAGAAGTCTTGCCTTTCCATTCAGTGGGAGACCGGGGCTGACACAGCGGTTTCATGACAAAGGGGTTGTGCTGCCCTCGCCCTTCAACCTGCCCAAATTGTCCAAGTTCAATCTCCACAGAGAAATCCGCAAAAGCACATGTCAGGTCATCTTTCGGGAGAGTTGAATCCCCCAACACACTTTGAGGGCATGGACCCGCAGATCCGCTGCGCAGGGGTGCACTTGAGTGAAAACCGCATAACTGTGGAAGTGGGACCTGGGCCAGCCCCGCATCGATCGACAGGGCAAATGCGGCATGCGGTTTAAACGGGACTGCCCAATCCAATTCGCATTTGCAAACCCCAACAAGGTTGGAGGAAACGAGAGCGAAGTCAAGCTGCCCTCCTGAGCTGAGAGTCGGGCCTCCCGTGTCCAGCACCACACCCCCAACAATCGTTGGGAACCGACTCATGAAAATCTCCTCCGGCTCCGCATTCCAATCCCCCATCACAACAAAATTCCTGTACGGCGCAACACAAGTCGCTAGTTCCGCAAGAATTGCTTTGTTTGGGTCTCTAAGGGGCCCAACTGTAACCTTAAGGTAAACCGAGGCAAACAGAACTTTACCCGGGAACCTCGGCAGCTCGACAGCTGTGAAGCCACACCCGTCAATGGCAAAAGCCTGCACAAATCTGGCATGCTGAGTAGCTGCACACAGCACAGCTGCACCCCCGTGAGGCCTGGGTTTGCTGTCGCTACCCACGCCTCCAAACCAGTGGAAACCTGCTGCGTGGGCCCTTGCCCTCGCCTGCTTGGCACCATCCTGGTCAAGGTGAGTTTCCTGGACCGCGCAAACCAGGCAACGAGTATCTTGGATCCACCTGAAAACTTCCTGCCTCCAGGACGTAACATTAGCGGTGACAAACAGGAGCGGTGCAACCGCGTCTCCAGTGTCACCTGCTTCCGGCTGTTCCAAAAACTTGGCTACCAGAGCCGGCTCCAGAGCCGATCCAGGAGAGCTGATCTCCGACAGGAGCTCGTATGCTAACTGATACTGAAGGGAGTCCTCGCCTAAGTTCTCAACCTCCTCCGCCCACAACACTACCTGATGCTCAATTTCACCAACATCACCATTGGCAAGGAGGTGCAATTTTATGGATTCAGCGGTTTCTGGGAGCACCGCTCCCTTCTTGGGAGCCCGGCGCTTACGGCGTCGTCCCCCTTTGGATTTGACATGCCCAACCTCATGTGGAGCCCGCTGCCCTAGACCACACTCCAAACCTCTCTCGTCCCCTAGCTCGTCCCGTGGACTGTCATCGAACTCGGCAGGGAAGAACTGGGGTCCCGACAGCATGGGCTGTCTCCGCTCAGGTGTGGCATGCTGGTATTTCGCAATCAGGCAATCCAAACACAGCAAAGAGAGATCGCACTGGACCTCCGCCAACTCCCAAACATCCGGGCATGCCTTGCCAGCCAAGCTGCAAGCCATTGCTAGACGGTCAAGCTCGCTACAGTCCTCTCTACCCAACTGTCTGGGCCCTTGGCAAAACTGGCATGTGCCTGTTGGCTCCCGAGTCACCCGGGACTGATCTGTTCCTGCCGGGAAAAGCAAGGGCTGCAGCCGAAGAGGAGTAGCCACATCAACATGGTTCGCACTGAAACGCCAAGGATCACATCTGGCATCTCCCAAGTATTGCGGCATGCCGTCCCCCGGGAGGGGAGAAATCATGAAACATGCCGCCGAATGAAAGCGAAGATCCAGCCCAGGATGAAAACGCCCAGTGGGGCGACCTGCATGTGTGGGGGGAGGGGAGGACCTCACCTTCCTCACTGCAAACGTTTCTGACGGTGTCTCACATGGCTGAAATCCAGCTGGTGTGTGATCGGCCCAAAAAATGGCCTGGGAAGGGTAAGTGGAGCCCGGGAGGCTAGAGGCTCCTGGGCCATTATGGTCTGGGGCTTCTGTGAGCCTTCCGGGAAAACTGGCATCCCTCACCCTGATGACGGAACTTGCTAGCTGTGAGCTGCAACCATCGCACAGGCCTCGCACACGGGGCCGTTGTGCTACAGAAGCGCAACCAACATCAATACAACACCCCAGGCACTGCAGGTTGCAGAAGGGGTGGCTAGGGAAACGAAGTTTAAAAACGCTGTCCAGATCCGTCGGGCACCTAGAGGCGGTCAGCTGGGCCTGAGTCTGGGTCTCCGGTTCACTGGGCTGCAGTTCGCTAACGCAGGAACACACATCCCCTAACACCGGACCCCTATCAACCCCAACCAACTCCACCCCCAACCCCAAACCCTAGCCCTGTACCGCGCGGCCTCTGCTACGGGATCGGGGCTTGCCCTCCTTTTCCTTGCCGGCCCTGATCAGCTACGGTTTGAGCAGGTGTGGGGGTCGGGGTCTGATCCTGAGACGGTGGCTTATGCTGCATGTCTGCGTCCCTCGTGCTCTCAAGCTGCAGCAGTGCAGCCTTCTCATCAATGGTGGCGCACATGCGCTTCTTGAAAGCTTCCAGGGCCTCCAGCGCCATCATGTCAATCTCTTGGTGCAGGGCAGCCTCGAGATCAACTTTAGATTCAGCGGCTTCTTGCACTACCGCAACCTGAAGCTGCTTCTGAAGATCCGTCACCTGCTCCTGTTTGCTTTTCAACTTCTCATCAAGAGACTGCATGGACTGCAAGAGGCCCGTGTAGGTTTCTTTATGCTTGTCGATTTTTAGTTGCAGCGTGGCCTTGCGCAAAATGAGCTCGCGAAGTTCAACGGTGGCTGTCTTAAATTTCTTGCTGTCAGCGTTTAGCTGCTCGAAAGCCGTTGGCGGCTTTTCCGGCGGCTCTTCAACCAGCTCTCTAATGGCTGGGGGCAAGGCAGAGATGTGCTTCTTACACATTTCAACGAGCCCCGGCTGGTGCTCCTCAGGCTGACTCAAACCACACTGCTGCAGAAGCTCCTTCTGCGCATCACTGGCGGACTCGAAAAGAGCCTTGAGACTGTCATCTGAGCCCACTGCTTCAATCTCGGGTCTGCCTCCGCCCTTTCCTTTGCCTGCACCACCTGTTCTTAGGACGGTGCGCTCCTTCCCACTCTGGCCCTTACCAGCAGGAAGACCCGGCAGGGCCTCCAAGGCCTGCGGCTGCCAGCCTGCTTCCTGAATCGACGCCTGGACGTGAGCGGGCAGGTGCTCCCAAACAGTGGTGAGGGCTCGCTGCGCTTTGCCTTTCTGGGGCTTCGACCGGGGTGGTGACCACTCCTCGGCCCGCCAGGGTGGAGACCACTCCTCGGCCTTGCTGCGCCACACACGTGGAGCTGGGGACCGCGACTGAGGCTTCCGGAACTTGGGCCACTTGCTTCCACACTGTCTGCATTTGTCCTCGGCCTCCACCCTGTGGCAGTAGATCCAGGAACTCTTGCAAGCTTTGCAAACAAAGTACGGCCTATTGTCCTGCCTCATTGCAACCACAACTCAACAGGTGTGGACCTGAGCAAGCTATGTCAGGGCTCAGGGAAAAACTGGACTGCTGCTGCCAAAACTTGCTGTCCCGCACTCCACTTTTCTGCGCAACAAGAGGGCGTTTTTGCAAGGCCCACAAAACAAAACCACAAATTCCCAAGAAAATCAGTGGTTCAAGTGCTGCAAGCAGACGTGAAAACTGCGGATTGGCTGAACTACGCACACCAAGGCGAGTCTCCAGCTACCCCCCCTCCTAGCGCGCCCCAGCGGGTCTGCCCGCCTACGAGAAAACACAAGGATTGGTTTAGGGAGCTGGTAGGGCCCACACTTAGGTACGGCCTAAAAGAGCCTGGTGCCACGACGGCAACAAAGCGGCAGCTTGCCAGTTGAGCCGAAACTTGAGCCAGGAGGAGCAAACTTTTCACACCCCCTCATGCCCGAGAGTCCTCTTCACTTCTCCTCAAAAGTCTTCTTCGCGTTCTTCAGGAGAGCGAATCCTAAACCCGCTGGATACACACCTGACTCAGGAAGAGGAAGGTAGTAGTGGCCGTGTCCCTCAGAGCACTGAGAAGAAAGTCCCCACACAAACTCTGTGCGGTTGGACACAAACCACCATCTTTTCCAAGGTCGTTGGTCACCCTTTTCAAAGCAACAACGATCCACAAGGCAACCCTGATCCAAACGAAGCTTCTTAGAAACCCTCTTAAACACAGTCTCATCCCACAGTCCTGACCTCTCAGGCCACTCGTGAGAAAGCAGAAGGTTCGGGGAGCCCACGTAAGGCTCCAACAGCTTCTCGATCCTTTTCCAGGACCTCTTGTGAACGGCAAGAGCCGCTCTCCACTTCTCCAGGGCCTTTCCTCCCTTCTTAAACCTCAGGTGCCTTAAACCACACCCAGCAGAGCAAGGAGTAGACAAGTGAGCATATACCTTGACCTCACCCTCAGCTACGACTCCGAAAACCTCTCTCAGAAGACACAAGCCATTATAGCTCAGAAGATCAACTTCCTTAGTCACCCCAAAGTAGGCGATCTCGGGGACCTTCGAGCAGGCTTTGGACAACGCACTTCCTTCTTCACAACACAGTTCAACCACTACGTACTTAGCTTCACCACGAGCTAGCTTCAAAGCAGCGGCTTTCCAGGAAGGCGGAACAGACGGAGTAAAACGTTCGTTTTCATTGGGCTCTTCAAAAGACACGTGCACCTCAGTAGGCTCACTCTCCCAGGCCTTCGGTTCATCCACAAGCCCAGAGGCATCGTACAAACTAGCCAAACTTTCGTTGGTGGGACTCTTCGTGAGGGCGTCCGCAGGGTTTATCACTCCCGGTATGTGTTCTATAGTAAAACGACCCCTGGCCACCAGCTCCTGAAGGAATGCGGCACGCAGTTCGATGTGCCTCACTTTCCTCAGGAGGGTCTGCATCTTCGATATACAAACCGCCGATTCGGAATCAGAATATCCCTTAAGAACATAATAACCGGTTTCCCTGTCTTTCGGCATCCCCTCGCGGATGGTCTCCACAAGCAAAGCAATGTACAACCCTTCACGAGCAACCTCTGTGAGTGCAGCGAGTTCTGCTTCCGCACTGGAGAGTGCGGTAGTCGTTTGTTTCCTGCTGAAGCTTTTCAGGGAACAGTTCTCCCACGTAATGATCCCGCCGCTTACCGAATTCAGACTCCAGCTCGCGTCCGTAAAACAAGATACAGAGGCAGGGTCCGCATCATCTTCCAAGATCTCCCTTTTGCTCGGAAACCTCTGGACCTTGTGCGGAAGACCCTTGACCCAACGAAGGACATCCCTCATACAGGTCTCGGCAGCTTCGTCAGGAGCTGCTTGGTGGCGGCCCAGAAACCCACACACAAACTGCAGGTCTGGTCGTGACAGAGCCGCCCAGGCCAAACGGCCCAGAGCCCTTCTGTACCTTTCGTGAGCAGCTGGACTGATCAGCTCAGTCTGGCCTTTCTTCAGCAACTCAGCATAGCGGCGTTCAAGGGAAGGGAGCTTTGGTGCAGGTTTGGTGATTCCGTACGCCTCGCAACAGGAACTCAGGTACTGTTCGTCTAGCCCGAAATACACCGTACGTTCCCCTTTCTTACGGCGAAAGATCCGCCGACCGAGAAACGAGACTTCCCCGGGGCAATCTTGAATCAACTCGCCCGTAAGTTTCAGTTTGTATCTTTTACGCAACTCCTCGTAGAACCGGCGCCCTTCAGCTTCATCTTCGCTATAGATCAGCAAGTCATCCAAATAAAACAACACAATCGTCAAACCCTTCCTCGTAAGACGACGGAATATAGTGGGGTCCAAACTTGCTTCGAAGTTCTGAGAGCGCAAGTATTCAGCCAACTCGCAATACCAAGATAATGGAGCAGACCGCAATCCGTTCATCGCTTTACGCAATTTGACGAAAACTCGTTCCCCAGTCCCCTGGGTGCTCACATTATTCGGCAACTCTACGAATTCTGCCCTCGCTACGGGAGCATGCATGAACGCTACCGAGACATCGCAGGACAACACACTGCCACGTCGGCAGAGCATTGACAGAAGCAATCTCAGACCCTCCAATGAAGTAGTAGGAGAGTAAATTCCCTCACTCAAGGTGGTGCCTCCCATAGAGGCATAATCCCGCACGACTAGCCTAGATCTATACAGTCCCTTCTTCTTGACCGTGTTGACCCACCTGCTAGTCAAGACTCGCCTGCCGTTTTCCTTAGCAAGACGGCGAGCTTCGCGCTCAGGGATCACTTCCCCAACCTTGAAGGATTCCAACTCTTCCAACTCAAGCTTCATTGATGCGTAAAGAAGATCGGGTTCTAGCTTCTCTCCCGAAGTCTCAGACACAGCGTTCTGAGGAACAGCACACCTTATCTTCGTACCCCCAAACTTCAAATCAAACGACTTTGCAACTGCAGTGGAGGTGGCTCGCAGGTCAGGCCCTCGAAACAGGGACTCAAGATAGTGATTCGTGAGCCAGTCTATTTCCATATCCCCCTCATCGTTCACAACTTCCTGGTTCTCAGGCGCTTCCGACGGAGAATAGTCAGCAAGCTCATCTTCAATCATCTCTTCATCACCATCTTCATCCATTCCCACACCAGCCCCCTCATCAGGAGCATCATCACCAGGAGCCTCCAACGGATCAAACAGTATGGGCCTCTCGGGGTCCTCAGTGTCCTGCAGAAGAGGCTTAGCTAAAGATAGCTCTTCCAGGGTCTTGGCATCGTAGATGTCACCTCCCTGAATCATCCTGGCGACGGGGAATATATCTATTTCCCTGCTTCCGATAGGGACGGCAAAGATGCCGCCACCTTTGGCGTGCACCGGTCCCAGATAAACCGCTTTCACGGTCCGGGCGCCCCTGAACTTATCATGATCCGCCTTGGACTTACTAACCTGGGCTTGAACCAGACACCCGAACGGTCTCGTCCGAGTCCGGTTCACAATCTCCTCATGCAGTCGATCGATGCTAGTGCTCGAATCCCCGACGCTGGTACACCAGAGGTTATAGCACCTAGCAACATAGAAAACACAGGCTTGCCAAAGCAAACCTCCCAAAGGTAACCGATACTTCCCAAGCTCAACGGCTTCCGTTTCCTGCTTCACCTTAGCAACCTCTTTCTCCAGGTCCAACCAAACAGACCAGAAACCCTGCTTCATAGTTTCAACCTGCCGCTCAATCGATCCCTTCGACTGGGGCCTGTAGCCCGGAACCACGTCAATCAAAGTTGCGCTGGCAGGGCTGCTATCGCACTTGGTGAGTTTCTCGGCAAGGGCTCCAAGAGCCGCTTCTTGGTCCATCCGAAATGTAACCGCTTTACCGACTAATCCCATTTCGCGAATCACACGGTTGATATTGTGGAGCAGGTCAGGGTCATCGAGATGCATCGCAGGAAGAGAGACAGTATACTTAGAACCGAGGTGCATCATCAAGAGTACCCTCAGTTTTCCGAAATAGAAGAAATCAAGACCTATGGTCTGGTTCTCTCTCTGCAGCTTCCTCCTCAAGCGACGCGCCGGAACGCGCCCTTTCGAAGAACAACACGCTTCACAATTGGAATCAAACGGAAAATGCCCTCGGCTCCGATGGTTATACAACGAAACAGAAGAAAGAGGAACCCTCAGGTCCTCCTCGTCCTCAGGTCCAACCGGGTCGTCAGGTGGTGTTGGACCCTTTTCTTTTCGAGGTTTCTTGGAAGAGCCAGGGGCAGACCCTAACGGTTCAGGGTCCTCATCAAAGATTCCTTCAGGATCTAAAGGATTACGACTAGAAGCTTCAGGTTTTAAGGAAGTTTCGGGAGCAGGTCTCGAGGAAGGTTCGGGGTCTAAGTCAAACGGATCAGAACGTGTACCGGTCCCCGGCGACGGTAAACCTCTAAAGCGCACGGCTCGGAGCACGTGCTCAACTTGTTCCGTCTTCTCTGCCGGGGCCGGTTCATCATCTCCGGCACAAAGCATGCCAAACATGCCGCAACATGCGCACTTTAAGTTTTCACAGACATGCTCACAAACGCGCTGCCCAAAACCTTTCACCTCACGACTCAAAAGAAGTTTCCTACTCACCTCGACGCGGGCCCAACGGTCCCGCAGCTTAATCCTAAAGTAGCTTCCGCGTTTTCTAGAAAACACCCTGTAGAACTTCCGTGGCCTCTTTCGCGAAACCACTTTCCTGAAACACCGAAGTAACCCTGAAGAAACCCACAAAGCTATACCACAGAAGAGGCTGTAGACCGTCAGGAGGAGCACGATGATACCAAGATCCAGTCCTGGCGTGAAACCATTCCTGAAAGCGGCCGTGGTTTTAAAGATGCAGGTTTCGAAAGTAGGAGGGTTCGAGGTACGTTGGGTTGGTTTTCGAGCAAACGCAACATGCCACAGACCATGCCAACGCTCATGCCACACAACATGCTGCTGCAAAACGTGCTGCTGCAAAGTGTGCTGCCGCAAAGCGTGCTGTTGCAAAACGTGCTCGCAAGAAAAAACTTTTGAACTCCAACCCCTCGGTGCGGATCGCCGCAGAGTCACTCCAAAAGCCTCTGGCCCTCTTCGAGGGCTTGCCTCACCTGCGCAGTCACTTGACTGTGGCTTAAAGATGGCGGGCTGAGCACAAATGCCCGTTCCTGGGCAGTCTGTCCTGTGGCAGAAGCACTCATAGCTCTCGGAGGCGTTGGTAGCCGAGATCTTTTTGGAACCGACGGCGGGATGTTCACGCCGTGTCTTTGATAGTCCTCCCTCTGCATCCCCTCCGGAAGCGTAGGTGCTGAGACCCTCGGGAGATTGAATGCAGTAGCCACCAGTTCTCCAGGTGGCATCGAGGAAGCCGGGCTCGGCGGTGCCGGCTGTCCCGCCTCGGCGGGCTGATTTCCCTCGTCGGCCCCAACGAAGCCATCCAATTGGGACAGCCTCTGGCCTGTAAGTTCTTCCAACGTGCGCCATATGGCGATGTCGGATAAATCTTCTTGGCCCTGGGCCCTGTTCAGCGCCGTAACTTCTCCTTCTCCAAGGAGCAAGGACTCCTCGTCGGAGCTCGAAGAGGTGGTGTCCACAACACCGCCCTGAGGGATCGCTGCCGATTTGGCCCTTGCCGCTCGCATGGATTCCCGGGCCTCGTGGAGGCGCTCCTCCTCTCGTTTTCGCCTGTAATATCGGGCACCACGGAGATATATGCCCGAATCTAGGTATGCCCAAGCCGTTTTGAGCTCGAGCGAGGTGACCGACTGGGGCACCTTTACGAGCAGACTCGAACGTCCTCCCACCAGTCCCTTGTATCCAGCAGGCGTAGCCAAATAGGTTTGCAAAACAGCTCGACAATGGAAGATATAGTGTAACATAGATACAGGGTTGGGTTCCTGGAACCTTCGTTTCCACGCTGCCCGAGCGGCCCGTGGAGCCTCCAGAAGTTCGGTAACCCTGACAGCGAACTCCACGTCTTCCATATGAAGCCCGTACTCTGCTAGGCTCTTGCCCTCTAGGCAACGTCCCAACCAAACCTCCCATTCCTGCTGCCCAATGATACATTGGGCTTCCGATTCCACCATCTTCGGCCTCGAAACCCTCACTGGCTCCTCTGGATAGGCCGCTGTCACAGGAATCACTGGAGTGGCTGGTAGCCAAGCAGCTGGATGCTCGAGGTCGGGCAGGCCTATCGGACCGAGCATTGTCGCCGTCGGAGAGCAAAGTGCTCTCAAGGCGTGGCCTGGAGCACAGAACGCCAGGGATGGGGCATCGTAGGCATCGTTCATGTTCGCTGTGGAATCCCCGCCAAGTGCGAGAGCAACGGAATAGGCTCGGTAGAGTCGACCGAGACCTTTGCAAGGCCTAGTGTTTCCGCATGCTCCCATCTGCGGCCAGCCTCCAGCCTCAACGCCCTCAGGAGGAGTTGGGTTCCCACATCCATCTGAAGCGCACCAAACGGAGGGCTCAGCGAGCCCGGCGAGATATTCGCCGGGATTCCAACCCGCGGTGGCGTAGGCCCCTCGACCTCTGAAGGAACCCCAGCGCGCAGGCGCTTCGAAGGATTCGGCCACTGGGTGCCCCAACTCTCCTCCCCTTCGCTCTCGGAGAACAAAGGGCTCTCTGCAATATCCGCCTTCGGCGGACTCCTCGCAGCATTTTCCTCCACAGGGCTTCCAGCAGCATCTGCCTGCGAAGGCCCATCTGCAGAGCTCTCCGCTGCTTCCGTCACCACTGGCGACGGGTAGACCGCCACCGGCGACGATGGTCCCCCACCCGGCGGCTCGACCCCCGGTAGTTCGAAAGAGGGGCTCTCCAAAGTCGGTGGAGTAGGCGGTTTCCCAGGAGAGCCTGGGCTGCTCAAAGCAACACTCGGGGTAAACTCGTCCCCGCTGGCACCGTCCATTATGATCTCCAAAGGGAGACCTCTCTTCACCACAGAGAAAAACGGCTGCAGATGAATCGTGCGCAGTGCTAGCGCAAACATTCGGCAACATCAGCGTTTGCAAAATCAAGCCAAGCATGCCAACATGCCACTGTTTCCTAGGTTCACGCAGCTGTTTCCTAGGCTCACGCATCTGCTTCCTAGGCTCGCGCATCTGCTTCCTAGGCTCATGCCGCTGCTTCCTAAGCTCAGGCAACTGCTTTCGCAACCCTTTTTCTACCCTCTTGTGGCTGAAGGGTCTGTCTTCTTCACTTGCCATCAAGCAAGACCCAACCAGCTGCAATGCTACCATCAGCATCGCTCTCAGCATACTGCGAATCTGGAACTTCGTCGTGGGCACGTAGCCATTGCACCCCCGACCAGTGTTGGATACAGGCCCAGCAATAATGATGGGTGTGCGCAGGTTTGCGTCTGACGCAGACCTGCTTTCCGCACACTTCGCACCGGCACTCGCACTCTGGCTTTGATCCGCCCAGATAGTTTCCCATAGCAGGAAAAAGAGGCGTATGCCGAGTCTTTCTGCAAAAACCGTAAGGGTAAAAGCCCGCTTGAGCACAGCAGCAAAAACCCACTGCGCTTGCACAACCACGTCCATCATGAAAACATGCCATCGCAAAACCATGGAAAAACATGCCAAAAACATGCAAAGCACCATGCCAACATGCGACTGTTTCCTAAAATCAAGAGCCATGCCAACATGCGACTGTTTCCTAAAATCAAGCGACATGCCAGCATGCAACTGTTTCCTAACATCAAGCGCCGTGCCCTGCCTAAAGTCACTAGACTCTTCTAGAAAATCACAAAGCTCAATCTCCCGTGGTGCAGGCGCTCTTGGAGCAACTTCCGCCCTAAGACCCCGAAGCAGAAACCCGAAAGGAGTGGCAGCCAAAGCGTGGCGGCCAGACTCGTCTTCTTCCGAAGTCTTTCTTCCTTTCTTCAGGATTCCTTCTCCAGGCTTCTGGGGTCCTGCGGTGGACTCCTTGCTCGATCCTAGCAGGTCGCGGTCCTTCAAGGCATCTATCTCCATATCCTCGATCCCTTTCGGGGGGCGTCTGGAAGAATTCTCTTTCCCTCGGCCCTTGGACCTCCCGCTCAGAGCCCACCAGGCGCGCGAAGCGCCCATCAGCTTGATGCTCTTCTTTCCGTTTCCTTTGTACAATCGTGATCCCGATTTGGCTAGATAGGTTTTCCAGCCCCGTTCCGACCCGGTCCAAGGCGAAACAACGTTGAAACCAACATCCGCCACCAAGACCTCTTCCAATCTCAGGAAAACATCTCCAAAATGAACCTCAAGGTCGACAACCCCCGAAACGACGATCGCACCACCCGAGGCATTGAACAGATTGGCCGTTTGGTCGTACTTCTTGACAACACGAAATCCTGAGAGATGTTTGTCTGAAACAATGTGGCAGGTGGCTCCACTATCGACTAGCCACAGGTCCCCAGGAGTAGTCTCGAGGGCCTTGCAGACATGAGCTACGTCGCCGTGCTTCAACACACGGGATCCTAAGGAGCCCATAGACTCAGAACCTCGACTCTCAGACCTAGGCGACCCTTCGGGTCCTGAACCCGGTTTCGGAACTACAAGGGCGGACGGCTCAGGTCTCTCAGGCTGGCTCAGAACACGGCGTTCCGAAGAAGAGGGCTCCGAAGAACCACGCCCAGGACAGGAAAACCTCATCGCCATCACTGTTGCGCTTCCTCCCGACTCGGCCTCGGACTCCGGCTCTGTCAAGGAGCGTCCCTTTCCAGGCTGTCCCTTCTTCTTTTTCTTCTGCTTCTTGCCTTTGTCCTTTCCTTTGTCGCCTTTTCCTCTGTCGCCCTTGCCCTTCTCGGAACCACGGGGCGTACCAGATCCCTTGGGAGTCTGGTCGCCTTTGCCTTTCGGCTTTCCTTTGTCTCCTTTCCCTTTGCCCTTCGGAGCACCACCGCGTTCGCGTTCTTCCTTTTGGCGCTGCCAACACTTGTCGGCTGTGTGTCCCTTCTTCCCGCAGTAGTCGCAAAGCTTCTCCTGCAAGGCTCGGCCCGAAGACCCAGGGGCCTCACACAGTCGCAGCTGCTCCTCGTAGTAAGTCAGCGTCCTTCGAAGAGCTTCCCAGTTCGAGCTGGACCCGTGCAGTACCACGTACTGACGCACTTCTGCACCCAAGCTCTGCAAAAGGACAGAGCAGCGGTCAGCCTCAGACAACTGAAGCTCCGGAAAGTTGCTCAGCTTCGCTTCAGACTTCGAAAACGAATCCTCAAGATGTCGAATCAAGTCGGTGGGCCTCTTCAGATGCCCAACGTGCTGGTACAACTTCAAGGCCTGTTCTCTCACGAAGACAGCTTCCATCCGCGACACGATGGAGTACTGAGAGGTAATCGTTCTAATCACCTCGTAGCCGCAAGCGCTCTGCCCCTGCCTCTTCGAGCAGGACCTCAAGAGCTCGCTTCCCCGCTCCCACTTGGCGAGGGACTGCGTCAAGTAGTAGAACAGCTTGGAGCTACGCGCTGCAGTCTCGGGATTCAAGTCAGCTTGCACAATCTCCTTCTTCACAGGGATGCAGAGCTGCAGTTCCCGAACAAACGCTTCTTCCTGCAGGGCAAGCCAGGAACTCAGCGTCTCCATAAAGGAGTGCCAAGTTTCTACCTCCTTCATGCGCCCTTTCCCCATGCCTCCAGCACCAGAGTACCCAGAGGGAGACGGAACTGCCGGAGAAACTGCCGAACTCGCGGCAGAACTGCTCGCGGGAGCAGTGCTCGGCTGGAAGGGGTCCCGAGTCTTAGCTGCCTTTGCTGCCTGCTTGGCCGCTTCAGCTGCCTCGTGAACTTTCTCTTCCGCTTTGTTCCTTCTCTCTTCCTCCAGATCCATTCTCCGGAGCATCGTCGCAACGAGCTGCTGGTTCATTGCCATCATCTCTCTCTGCTGACGAAGTAATTCCATCATAAATCCAGGCATCTGCTCAGGCGTCAAACCTGCAGAACCAGAGCTGCTACTCGGAGCAGCAGCCTTCGGACTCTGAACAGGTGGAGCCGATGGACTTTGCACAGGAGGCACAGTAGCACCAGTCGGCGAACCTGCCGCTGGTACAGAAGGCTGTGCTTGCGTAGGAGCAGGAGCCGGATCTTGGACAGGAGCAAGCGGATTCGCTCCCTGCTGAGCAGCCGTACTCAAAGGAACACCTAAAAGGAGCAAACTTTTCACACACACCGGCGGTCGTCGTCTTGCCTGACGCCAAAATGTGCAACGATGGCAGTCTCCGGCACATCGGCAAAGAGTAAAGGGACCGGTCAGCCATCCTTTATCCCTTTCCTCAAAGGTGAGGCAATACACTTCCAAGGTTATTTCAGGGTCCCTGCAAGTGCGGTTAGCCTCCCAAATCGTGTGGTTTTCTTCGGCAAGACAGACGTTTTCCAGCTAGAATCTTCTGGCAATGTGCGGGTCCATCAAAACTCTCATCAAGATCTTTCTTCCTAAGCATCCACTTACGAAGTTCAGCCGTTCGTTCCCTCACCACACTGACTGAGCTGCGCTCACACAAGCCATCAAATACGTGCACTCGAATTCTTACTGGTCAGACGGGCGTCAAGGCCGGCGGCTATGCTTTGGTCAAAGCTCGCGAGTGAACCTTCTTGCAAGCGAGAGTCAGGTTGTGACTCTGCAAAGTTTCCTCCAAGAATCGTCTGAGCTGCAGGCTTCGCTGCACCTGACTTTTGCTCGCTCGCCTGTGCAGGTGTGTGCAAGATTGCTAACAACTGTCCTGCCTTGCTTCGAAGTTTTGGTTTGGTAACTTCCTCCGTCTCTGTCAGAGTTTTGGTGGTTGGTTGTTTTGAGAAGTTTTTGCGCGAGTATCAAACACCTAAAACCCTTTTGCAACTGCAGTTAACCTTCAAGGAAGCTGTTTCGCCAGGCCGTAGCTGCTTCCGTTGACATACTGTCATTAGGATTGCAAGCGTGCGAACCGGGTTTGCGGTCTTGTGGCACAAAAGTCGTCTTGTTTGAGTGGATACAGGGGAGGCCCTTCGAGGCTTCCTACGATTCTGTAGGAAAAAAGAGCTCCTGCAAGTGGAGCTTCCCAGCGCAAAAAAAACAGCCCACGTACAGCAAGCAATCGAAACAGTTGAAGCTACAAGCTGAGATTAACATCTGCCAATAGATGCCGCAAAATCCTCGCATCAGCGTGCCAGCATTTAGCCGCAGCAAACTTATCAAGAGCATTACCGCAGGAGGGCGGCGAGCCTCATGTGCATCAGAGGTGAGCCTGTTTAACGTTTGGTCTCGACCCAAACTGCAGATAGCAGACGTGCTTTTTGCAGCCTTACTTCAAAGCAGCAAATCCAAATGCAGCGCAAGATGTGCGATGGAACTGGGCCACACCTGCAGCCACTGTCCTGAACATCTTCTTCAGTTCCACTCTTCTCTGAAACATAATGCGCGAGCTGGAGAAACCATGGGAACCCACATGTACCCCACAGGGAACCGAGCTGACACACTGCAAGAGCCAAGGGAGCCCACCCAGACCTTTGCGCAATATATGCTGGGAAAACCATGGGAACCCACTTGCAATGCTGCAAAAAGCAAGGAACCCACAGGGAACCCACCGTCGATGCTGTTAAACCATGGGGAACCCAAAAACTGCTGCAAAAAACTAGGAACAGGGAACCCAGCTGACATGCTGCAAAAGCCAAAAGAGCCTATTGGAAAACCATGGAAACCCACTTCAAATGCTGCAAAAACCCGGGAACCAAACAGAGAACCCACCGTATCGACGGTGAAAAACCATGGGAGCCCACTTAAAAATGCTGCAAAAACTAAGGAACCCACAGGGAACCCACCGTCCATGCTGCAAAAACCATGGGAATCTACAAGACAGCTAAGTGATGAACATACACAGACCACGCGAAATGCTGCAAAAAACAAGGGAACCCATATGTTGCCCACCTGAAGTGTTGCAAAAAAACAAGGGAACCCACAGAGAATCCACCGTCGATACCATGGGAACCCACTTGCAAATGCTGCAAAAACTAGGGACCCCACAAGGAACCCACCGTCCATGCTGCAAAAACCATGGGAATCTAGAAGAAAGCTAAGTGAAGAACATACACAGACCCACCCGAAATGCTGCAAAAAAAGGAGGGAACCCATATGTTGCCCACCTGAAGCGCTTGCAGCAAAAAAAACAAGCACAAAAAACAAAGGGAACACCACAGAGGAATCCACCGTCGATATTGTTTAAAAAAACTGGGAACCCCCCCCCCCCCCCCCCTTAAATGCTGCAAAAACTAGGGAACCCACAAGGAACCCACCGTCCATGCTGCAAAAACCATGGGACTCGACAAGAAAGCTATCTGAAGAACATACACAGACCCACCCGAAATGCTGCAAAAAACAAGGGAACCCATATGTAGCCCACCTGAAGTGCTGCAAAAAACAAGGGAACCCACAGCGAACCCACCCCATCTGCTGCAAAAACCAAGGGAACCCACTTACACACCCTTTGGGTAGTATAACACTATTAGAACGGTGGAAGGTCCCAGACATGCCGGAGTCGATCAAACTCAGTTGGCAGCTGAGTATTATACCACCGGCTTTGTCCTAAGGGTGAAATGATTTGCCCGCCACCTCTGGGCTCGTTTAAGTTCCCTCGTCTGTATCCTCACACCCTGCAGCATACAATCTCGAATCAAACTGCGGCGGATCAGTAGAGTCTGCCTGTCCTGGCTTTCTGCAAGCGGACAAGTTCGGATCCAGATTTTCATGCTGCGCGTTGCTCTACGTAAAAGACTACGGCGCTCAGCTTCGACCTTGCAACAGGCTCAACATTTCAGAAGCGAATGAGCATGATATGACGGGCTCACATTAAAACAAAAAAAAAACCTGCTAGATGTCAACAAAGAGTTTCGGCTGCCCACATGGACTACAGCAAGGCTCACTTACTCATCCTAAACCCTACACCGCAACGCAACCACGTTTTGTGGCCTTCAGAAAAAGAAGGCCGGGATTACGTCAAAGCAAGGCTTTCCCCGGTCACGACTAGCCGGAAAAGTTGGTTAAGTTTACCGGTGTCAGGCAAACAGTTTGGGCAATGCTCATACATTCACTGGCCCAGATGGCAGACCTCTTTGCCAGATGGCAAACCCCACCCCGCAGAGTCATCGCTTTTAGTGCCGGGCTCAAAGCCCGTGAAACATTCGTGCCCTGGCTCAGACAAGGCTTGCACACTGCTGAACCGCTCACGCTCAACCGAAGACGAAGAAGTTACTAGCTGCCACGCAACAGTTCGGGTCACAGCCAAGCTCTGTCACCCACTGCTTCGGCAGGGCTCGCACAGCTGACCACTCTGAGCGCCGGGCTCAAAGCCGTAAACATTCATTCCCTTGGAAAAGAAAGAGCGAAGCTTGGTCACTGCTCACCCGACCCCGAAGAAGAATTTACGCGCTGCAGGGCAGCCGTTCGTCGCAGCAAAGCTCACTCACTCACACTCACTGACTCACGTACTAAAAGCTGGCAGAGCTTAGTCACTGCTCAACAGATACTCGCTGCTGGGGCAACAGTTCAACACCAGAGAAGCGACAGCGAAGCTCACTGACCGCTGATCACTCTCAGTGCCGGGCTGAATGCGCGTTAAAACATTCGCGCCGTCGTGTGAGAAACGACAAGGGTTAATTTACTGCGATTCAGAAAGCTGCCGTGCTACTGTTTTTTGGCCTGGGCAAGTTCACAAACATCTACATTCGACGGGGCAGCAGACAGAACCATGCCTTGCGAAGTCGTTTTTGCTCTGCTTTCAGGATCTTAGCGACTCTGCGCGCTTCTACCTGCTTTGGACGAAAGACAATCAAGACATCTTGTCGACACGCAGACAATACCACACCTTTGCATCCTGACGCTCCTGTCGCAGGCGGGCCAGACGGGCGGACAAAGTCTCCTAGCAACAGGCAGACGAGGAAGGACCATGTATTTACGAAGGACACACGCCTGCGGCAACTCCACTCTTTGAGGGGGAGGAACAGGAGGTGCTTCCACGTCGGACATCGTTGCAACACATGGGCCAAAAGAACGCTCGAATTACGGAGCCAATTCCGGAAGCTGTTCTCTAGGATGCGTGGAAGGGCCTCCTCTGTGTGAGAAAGTTCTGTTTGCAAGGTTTCACATGGTTTGCGAAGCGTTCCATCCACTTTTTTTTGAGTTTTGAAGGAACACCGGCAAAAGGCAAAACGAGCTTGGCGATGTTTATAAGACTGTTCAGCCCGCAACGGCCAGCTGCGCACTACATATGTTGGCCATTCCTTGCTCGCGAAAAAACGGCATAACTGGCCCCCTAAAGTGGCCTCCCAAATCTGAGCTCTATCTGGGGCCCCGAATTGCGTGAGCTTGTATGGTCCACCGAAGAAAGCAAAAGCGGGGCCCCCTGGTTTTCGTCCCGGACTAGTAGCTGCTTTTTTGGAACCTTTGCAGCTGGAAAACTGCACGGAAAAACAAAATTCCTTCCGCATGCTGTTTTGATCAACGTCCAAGAAAGCCAACATGCTGTGAAATGTGAGATACTTTTGGAAAATGTGCCAAACTTGCCATCGGCTGCCGTTTCAAGACAAGTGCTTCTGTTCTTGTTCGTACAAGATCTTTCCCGCACAGGGGAGGCCCTTCGAGGCTTCCTACGATTCTGTAGGAAAAAAGAGCTCTTGCAAGTGGAGCTTCCCAGCGCAAAAACAGCCCACGTACAGCAAGCAATCGAAACAGTTGAAGCTACAAGCTGAGATTAACATCTGCCAGTAGATGCCACAAAATCCTCGCATCAGCGTGCCAGCATTTAGCCGCAGCAAACTTATCAAGAGCATTACCACAGGAGGGCGGCGAGCCTCATGTGCATCAGAGGTGAGCCTGTTTAACGTCTTTGGTCTCGACCCAAACTGCAGATAGCAGACGTGCGTTTTGCAGCCTTACTTCAAAGCAGCAAA